ATTTACGTTTAAAATAAAGTGAAAATTATTTAAACCCTATTTTTTACATTGTATTACCGTCAAATATCTTATTACATTTTAAGAAATATTTTTTTAATTTTCTCCAACAAAAGATTATTAATAAATAACTCAATGCACTCTTTTAATATTTGTAAAGATGGTGAAAATATTCATTATACGCCGTAAAATATGAATTTCAGCGGCCTAATTTTTAATAACTCAAATGATGTTCTTTAAAGATGATTACTGTTTAGATCAATTATGCAGCGCAACAATCTTTCTTTGTACTCTGGATGATTATTATTTCGCTTATACATCGACCAATGTTGATAAAAATCTTGATGAGAAGTTTCAGCAGTTTATTCACTATAGAGCCCCAATAGGGATCCTTTGTGACTGATGAAATCCTTGATGTGGTAGAAGACGGCGTGAATTTTGAGTGTGACGCTTGCACCATTTATCATTAAGTAACGCTTTTTCAATTTTTCAATTTTTTCAGCGAAATCCAGATGAAGGATGTATCCAAAGCAAACCTTGACAACTAATTTGAAGCTTTTGAATGCTTCAATTATGCACACAATATTGGGAACCATATTTGTCTCAGCAAGTTGCTGCAGCATATCCACATTTTTAAGAAGCTTCCTGAATTCATTTCCCTCAAACCTGCCCCTGTAATACAGGCTCAATTAAATGTGGAAAGCGGCTGGCCACTTAACAGCTTCAATCCAAGCAGTTTTAAGGATCTTGAAAAGATGGTTTATAACTTTTAAGAGGAGATGCAATTCCATCGATGGAATGCTTTTTTGACAGGCCTGCAGATGGTTAGTTTTCGAATGACATTGCCAAATGGCTTTGCATTAGCAACAACCCTGCCAGATTGCTGAAAAGACTCAAGGCTTAAATTAAATGAGCCCAGTGTTCGCATGTTTCCAGATTTAGCAAAACAATTGTAATTGACGACACACCAGATGCAAGGGTGCGTACTTGAATGAGTTTGAAGACCACAAATTATATTTGCAACTTTCATATCACAATACAAAATTAGTTTAACATTATTTGCATTATTCAGTGACCAGATTTGTCAAAAATTTAAGTGTGTTTCTAGCAAATCTTCTGAAACCCTAACAATAATTTGTCTCTTGACTCCAGTGTCTTTACCAGTTCTTTGAGTGAGAGGTTGTTGTTGGTGCGGTGAGCTGGTTTCATCCCTTAACGCAGTAACAGCAATGCTCAGGCAAAACGTGAGAAAACCTTTGCCACTATCAATTCTGAGCTTAACAAAACAGCTACCAGAAATTTTACAAGACTGAATAACATGATTCACAAGACTTGATAAATCCTTGCAGTGAGCAACAACATAAACTGTACAAGAATCTGTTTTTTTGCCTGTGATTTTTAAGTAGCTGCAGGTGAATAAATTGCTCAATTGTTGACCTAGTCTTAGAAAATTCATGTAGAAATTTCGCTCTACCATCTTGCTGCTTGATGTTTTGTCTATAGTTCTAACAAGTTTCTTTAATCCGTTGTTTGACAGGCCCGTCTTTAATTGCACACTTGCTAGGGCTACAATGGTCCATTTCGGAGCACTTGATGGTGTCTGTGCACTACTTTGACCTAAAACGAAAACATACATATTTTATAGTTACAATAAACTTTGTTTAGTAAGTTTGTGTGAAACTTTCAAATTATTCGTTTTTAAAGAAATTAGAAACTTGTCAAAAATATACTTCTAGAAATCTATCTAGTGTTATTTCCTAATAGTCAAGACCTTATTTCAATATATATGTTAAAATTATTTAAGTATAAATATTTACCAGGGGTAACTGTAAGAGACCCGCCGGGTGCTTTAGCCAGTAGAATATTTCTTTCTGGAGATAATTCTTTATTGGAAATAACTCGAGATGCGATTTGTTCGGATGATTTGGCATCTTTTACGGGTAAAGATGTTTTCTTTTAACAATATTTGAGAGCATTAGTTGGGCAATTTTATTATTTCAATTTTAATTAGGCTGAGGCATTTGCTGCAACGCACTTTTGGTTTTTCCTCAATAGTGGTTTGCTCTATAAGATAATGTTTTTCTTGCAGCTTTGAACGACTAATTCGCCATATAGGCAACAACACATCGTCCCTCTTGTTTCAGGTCTCACTTATATTAACTTAAAATCAAAAAAAAGAGAAAGTGCAAGTTTTTTCCCCTCTTGTTTCCTGCGCAAAGTAATTCTACACGATTCGCAGAATCTTTTTGGTACCCGAGTATCACTGATATTGATCTTGATCTTGATCAAACTTTCAATTTTTATTATGATTCTTTGTTTCATTTGGCAACATGGCAGTTCACTAAATTTAACTTTACTTAATCAAACTCTGCCTTTTACAAAATATGACCTAAATTTATATTTGATAACAATCCACCTAACATAGTAACACATTTTGTTAATTAAAAACTATTAAAAAAAAGAAAATATTTAGTTGATTTAATTGAGGTAATATTAAATTAATTATAATTCTTGAATAGTACTTTAATTAAAATGTTTCTTGAATAGTACTTTCCTTACTAGAAAACAATTGTTTAAACTATTTACTTGTAAGGAAATTACATTATTGATAATTGTCACACTTATTAAGCTAATGATACTTTCAACCTAATTAGTTATTCAGTTAGAGTAATTTTCCTCCGACTGGCCCTCCAAACTTTGCATTGGTCAGATATCTTAGTTAACTTATCTAAATTTTTTAAGTCAATTATCTTTGTCAATATAAAAAATATTTGGTTTTTTCACAGTTATTCTGTATTCAGATAAATAAATATTTTTATTTTCTATGTAGGTATCCCTTGAAATCCTTCTTAACCACTTTTTTAGAATTTTTTTGCATTCTGGTAGTAGTTTATACCTTAGGAAATGTTGGTTTATTCACGCTATGCATACGTGGTCGTCAAGGAAGCCACTTTTTTTTTGCGAGGACCTTTTGCTTTAGAAATATAGGCAATTATTTTAGAAATTATGGATTTTTATTTTAGAAATTGAGGGGTTAAACCCCTCCACTTTGAAGGCCGTGTCAATGCATATCACCATTTTGGTCTATAAAATGAAAACTGTATATGTACCGATAAAACAATTATATCAAAAATTGTTGGTACTACTTGTAGAACACTCATGTAACCGTTATTTCAAAAATAGTGACCGAATTTCAAAGTAATCGGTAACGATTTGAGGTATAAGTAGCAAAAAACTGACAAAACCTTAACTAAAACTGCAATAAATTCTACACTAGTCATCCAATCAGGCTGAAATTTTTTCCAGAGTTTGGTGTGACAATTGGCTACATTTGCACTAATTTTTATCAAATTAGATTGAGTGGTTCAAATTCTACAAGTGTTTTTATTGGTGCACTATGAAGTCAAAGTTTGACTTAATTTGAACATTCAAATTAAATTATTTTCCGCGGACAAAATCAAATGGTTTCAAAATTTGCATCACATGATACCTTGATGTGTTCTCTAACTTTCCGTTTATGTGGCGTGTTTGGGACAGCTAGCTAGGCATTATAAGAATTTGCAAAAAAAAATTTTCTGTACGATTAGTTTACTGGACTGAACAAGCTCTAGAATCCGTTCACCAGGATTTCAATCAGTTTAGGCGAATGAGAAAAGTTAGAGAACACAGCCCAAGCTATATTGGAGCGCTAAAAAACGCAGTTGTTTTTTACAACTACAAATACTTTTAAAGTAGCTTTCAATTTGCAGGTAGCTCGTAAAAAGTATAATATTAACCTCTTATGAACAATTGTTTAAAATAAATTCTTAATATATGATATGAATATATATGACATGCAAAATATACTTAATGACTTAACCAAATAGACCATAATTTTTTTTTTTTACGGCCTTAAAGTAGTTGTAGTTAACCCTATTGGACCCCTTATACCCCACCCCTAGTGGATGGTTCCTTAATAAAAGTTTTAATTTTTTTGTGTTATATTAAACTAGATAAAAATTCATCAACAGATTTTAAGTTTCATCAAAACATAATATCTAATTTAAAAGTTACGACCGTGGGTGGAATACAAGAAGCAAACTTGAGTCAAGTTTGACTTGAACTTTACTTTGTAACCAATAGCGGCAGAGTATTTTTTAAGGGGAAAACCCATACTCTGTCGCTATTGGTTGCAATTTAAAGTTCAAGTCAAGCTTGATTCAAGTTCGCTTCTTGCATTCCACCCATGGTCGTAAATGTTCTTGCATTCCATTGGGGTGAAATGCAAGAACATTTAAAGTTATTTTTTATTGAAAGTAGCGCTAACTTCCGTTAGCGCTATTTTCGTATGTAGCAAAGTAGTTTTATTTCGTAATTTAACTTACGAAAGGCTATATTTCGTAAGGAGCATTTGCGAAATAAACATCGACGGTTTTTTTGTTTTTTAAAATTCGGTACAAAAAAAAAAAAATTCCTGATTCTCAATATCCTTCCAAAAGAATTTTATTTTTCCAGAATTGTACGAAATCTTCCGGTTAACAACTCTATTCCAATGTCAAAATTCAAACCACACTTAAGTAATTATCGTTTATTATTTTAAATTTTAATTTTATTATTAAGAAATAAATATGTAAGCTATTACTGCTTTTTATTAATTATTTGTTACTTTATAAAAAAACATGTGACTTGTTATATTTGTTAACTCCTCAATGCATCATTGATAAAATAAAAAAAGCAGTTTGTACAAACATTGCGTCATTGTGGGAAGGTGAACAGAATACTATAAATGATTATAGAATGTGGTATGGGGTATCAAAAAATCTCAACTTTAAAACTACTATTATAAAAACAAAAAAAACATTCTTTTTAGTTTTTTTGACAAAACTACCAGTTAAATAACTTATAAAATTGTTATTGTTTTAATAAAATAAGAAAGATTTAATAGAGCAAGATTATAATCTGTTTCTTCAAATGTCAAAGTTGACCACCGCGTGTAACATAATATGAAAAATAAACTTTTATTTATTTAGCAAGCTATAAAAGCTCTTGCAATGAAAAAAATCTTAAACACTTTCTACAATGAATTCCAACTTTTTTTTCATTTTATTCTTTAATATAGGTCTAGTGGTGTGTAAAGGAAAAGATGTGAATCAAAATATAGATCAAAACACGGAAACTGTTTTACCAAAATCTGAAATTGCAAAAAAGCAAAACGAGGTATAATTTATGGTATTTAGTAACAACTTTGCTTTATGAAGTTGTTTTTATCTTTACTATGTAAATGTTGCGTAACTTTTATTTTACTTAAATTTCATGGTAAAGTTAAAAATAATATTTTTTACTTCTGTTTAAATTTAATATACTTCGTTACGCTTTGTTGCAGATTTAATGATAATATTAATAATTATCTTCGCTACAATTTTGAAAATACATAATTGTCATTATTTTTTAATATTTCTAATTATAAGGAGGTTATTACTTTAAAACATAATCTAATAAATAGATTTTCATATATTGTTTTGTATTCCTTAAATTAAAGCTAATTGATGTTCTAAAAAACGCCAAGTCGACGGAAGAAGTTCTTATTGGCTATGGAGTACGTGACCTTTTAAAGTTAATCAAAAGATCTCCTATAACTGGCAGTTCAACATACGGGATAGCTCCAAAACCTGGGCAAAGTTTAGATAGTAGTACATCAGTTGGTAATATTTTTAATAATATTTTTCTATTAAATATTACTTATAAATCATTACATCATGTATAGTTATTTTATAAATCTTATGTATAGTTATTTTATAAATCACAATCTAAACGTTTTAATCTCATTAAGCTCTAGTTTGTTTGAAATTTTAAACTAAATTTTTTATTTACTTTCAACATTTTTAAAAAGAAAAAAGTCTATAAAAAAAAGTCCATAAAAAAAGTCCATAAAAAGTATTAAGTGTACCAAAATCCATAAAAAAAAAGGGTGAAAAAACTTTTAAAAAAAGAAACTTTATAAAAAACTTTTAAAAAAGGGTCCAAAGTCCATAAAAATTCTTAAGGGTACCAAAATGCAATCACTAAAAAAGGATTGGATTTCCGATATGTTTATTTGTGTATTGCTAACCACATTTCAATAAAATCTTGTGCTTTCTGTATAAAAACCAGTTTTTTAACAATTTTATTCTTGTTTCCGTCAAGAATGTTCAAATATATATATATGTATATATATATATATATATATATATATATATATATATATATATATATATATATATATATATATATATATATATATATATATATATATATATGTATATATATATATATATATATATATATATATATATATATATATATATATATATATATATATATATATATATATATATATATATATATATATATATATATACATGATATAATAAATTACTGAAGGCTATGCATAAAACAAATCAGAAATGATTTAGATAAAATACCCATTCTCTGTACGAAAAAATACTCATTTTATTTTGTTTTATAAAAATAAACAAAAAGGAAACATGACTTTGATATTGCTAACACTTATAAACAGCGAAGAAATTCAAAAGCAAATGTTAATTTTTGTCGTTTCTTAACTTGTTTAAAAAATTTTTTGGAATTTCTGTTGATGAACATTTTTCATGGCTCAACATTTCGCCGTATGTATGATCTATCAAAACCGTTTGTATGATCTATCAAATAGGCCCATAGTCTACATTTTCTAAATTCATTGGTATATTTTTTTGCAAATATTACATGAGCAAGTTGTCAGCCTAAAAATTTCAAAAATTTTAGGTTAAAACAATATGTTTTTAAATTATTTACAGTTGGTTAAAAGAATATGTTTTTAAATGTTTTACAGTTAAATTATTTACAAAAACTGACAAATCACACTAAAACTTTAATGAAAGATAAAAAAATCATGAACATTTGTTTACCAATCGTTGAGAACAATTATTTATAAATTTTCTTAAATACACAATTATATTAACAGCCTTACTGCTAAAACCTTATATGTAAATTTAATAAAATTTAAATAAAAATTAGAAATAGCGGTAAAACATATATAAAAAAAACTAAATTTTTTTCCATAAAATTTAACAGAGTTTACTGAATATGAATGCGCAATACGACCGCGAATTGTTGACGTGGACTTTGTTCCAGGCTACTTTACCTTTCCAGCATGTATACAAGTTAATGAATGTAGTGGTTGTACCACAAAATCATTAATATACAAATGCGTTCCAGACGAACAAGTTAATGTTATTGCAAACGTAGTGGACATTGATTATTCCGGTAAGAAATTTCAAAACCTCTAATAAGAGCTTTAAAAATAATTTCATTTGTAAAAACTCAGGTAACTAAAAGTATTTAAATATTTAACTATATTTAGGAGGTTTCAGAATTAGAAAAGTAACCACGCTGCAACCAAAAAGCTGTAAAATGGAGTGCCGTATAAAGGCTTCAGATTGCACGCCAGGTCAAGTGTATGATCCAAATAGCTGTACATGTTCTTGTTCTTCTTCTATTGAGAAGTGTCCAGTTGGAAAACAGGTATACTTTATTTATATGTCTTGCATATCCGGGGTATAGTATACTTAAAATATAACTGATCAAAAATTTGTTTGTTGGTTTTTCTTTTCACATTTTTTTTTTTTTTTTTTTTTTGCCATCGTTAATTAAATTTGAAGTAAATTACATTATTATAATTTTTATTTTTTTTAGTTAAACTTTAATTTTATTTCAATACTTTCTACTAAAAACTATTTTTAGTGGTCTATTGTGAACTGCGCTTGCGCCTGTTCCGAAGTAAAAACATGTTCTTCTAACAAAATATGGAATAAAGACTCATGCACATGTCAATGCATTCCAAAAGTATGTCTTCCGTCACAAAAGCAAGACCTTATCTCATGCAATTGTGTTTGAATGTTAATTGATTAAAACCTTTTTATATAAGTACAGTAATTGAAAAAAGATTTTTTTTTATTGCTGTTTGATTATTCGATAACTTAATTAGTTTTTCTAACAATATTTTGTAACTTTTAGTTGAATAAAAATATAATATAGAAAAGTTTTTTTATTTTTTTGACCAACAAACATATGAATTAATTTAATTACGGATTTTTTTTTTTCAATTATTGTAAACGTTTTCGGATACTGGTAAATATTTTTGGTTAATAGTGTTTTGCACAACACTCAATACAATAACTTGGAGTTTTTTTTTATGTGTAGATTGCAACTCTTCCAATAAATATATTTCTTAATTGTTACTCCTCGAATTTTCTTCGAATTTTTTCTTTTTATACTAAAATTGTAAATGATTAACTGATAAGAATAATTATATATATATATATATATATATATATATATATATATATATATATATATATATATATATATATATATATATATATATATATATATATATATATATATATATGTATATATATATATATATATATATATATATATATATATATATATATATATATATATATATATATATATATATATATATATATATATATATATATATATATATATATATATATATATATATATATATATATATATTATGGCAGGCCAAAATCTAAAAATTTTAAAAATTACAACTGACTGCATAAAAAGTTGTTCCTTACCATATAGAAATTATTATTTAAAAAATAAAGTTTCCTATGATGTTTCTAAGAACTGCCGCATTTTATTTAAAGAATCGCGTTTTTACGCAATAAATATCACTACAAAAACTTAGGTAATGTGAGTTTGGGACATATTTAGCATCTATTCCAAATGTTTAAAATGCTTTAATTATCACACAAAATATATTTTAACTTTAAAAAACGAATCCATTATTCTATATAACCAAGGTGCTATCTCGTGATGAATGGTATAACAAAAATTTTTATTTGAATTGAACAAAGTCAGAGAATCATTCCTTCATATTGAAATTACCAACAAGTTTTCTGTGATTTTCAACGATTTCTATTATTTCGTTATGTACTGCCTCATCCTAAAATTAGGCAAACTTTCTGTAAAAAAAAAATTTGAATAAAACTTTAAAAACTTTTTTTAAATACCTTTCTCTCACCTTTGTGAGTACCTGAAGATAATCCGAACATAACTTGATTCCTCGCTCTGCAACATCGTTTGTAACCTTGACTGTTTTGATAAAATGTTTCATCTTTAAAAAGTTTCCATTTTCCTCCCATTCTGAAGGAGAAAGTTTAAGCTATTTACCTTTATCGTTTAAGTTAAGAAAGTGCAACCAAGATTTTTTCCCAATATACGGCAATATCTTAAAGTTCTTGTGAATAGATGGAAGATTAGTTTTTCCAGAGTTGATAGCAAGTGGCTTTCCTACATATATCAATTTTAACTCAATGTTAGCCTTTTCTTTAGCAGAAACCTTATTTGAAAAGAGACTGAAGACTGAGACCTCCTCATTTAGATATCATGAGTGCCTGTTAAGATTTTTTTGAGTTTTCTGAGTTTCATTAGACAAGCCTGAGATCTGCCCAAGAGCGCCTAGATCATTGTATAAATGAATATCATTAATTGGTGCATCAGAGCCTTTTGTTGCTTCTAGCCAAGCTTTAATATAAAAAACTGAGCTGAAAGTCGATAAAGTTTTTAACTTTGCTATAATAGAATCAAGTAAATCTAAAAGTGTGACACAGGTTTTCCATACTTAGGTTCTGGTACGCCTAAAAGATGAAATGCTAACTTTGCAGCTTCCTTGTAATCACCTCGGCAATGCTTACATTTTACTTATTTCTCTAAGAACACACGAGTTTCGTCTGCTTTTGTTTTAAGAAAAGAATTTTCAAGATCAGAAAATTTGTATAGTTTTTTTAGTAGACCCTTATCTGCGCAAATCCATTATGGTTGAAAATCTTTAAAATCTATATTACAACTTTTTTTTTTTAAAAAAAAAAAAAAAAAGGAGCTCCAAAATGCTCTCAAAATCAAATTTAACATATGATGGCGACAAGCCAGCCAAAGAACAGTTTTCATTGGTTTACAATCCTCTAAAAGAGTTGCAGCTCCATTCCTAACTCTTGTATCACATGTAGTCGCATCAAAAACCTGGGCGACAATGTTGGCTTTGAGATTTCTTTTCTCATTCCTCTGAGTCTTCCAAGATTCCTTTGCAAATAGCAAGTCCTGTACTAGACTGTATAGGTTTTATTGATAACATTTTTCCTTCAACACAATTAGGAAAGCCACTGACCAAAACAGTTAAATACTCAAAATTTTGCCCTGAGATTTGTTTTAAAAGTTTTCCATCCCAATGAAGTGTCAATTAATCTAATTTAATCTTATTTTGAAATTCTGTTATTATTTTCCTTGCCATTACTTGCCTATTTAGCTTTCGTGATCATTTTTTAGTATTTATTGAAAGGCTGACATCGTCAGGTTTAACACCACCTGTATAAAATTAAAAAATGTATATTTATTTTTAGATATACAATAATCCTGTTTATTTATTAATAAAAAACGAACCTAAAATTAGAATTGCAGAAGTACTTGATAGCTTAGTTTATCTGTAGTTGCTGTTATCATTGCGTGAGAAATAATTTTTTTCGGCAAAACCAGTGTGATACTATCTATTCTGGTATCTTTTTTTTCTCCTTGCTGCTTTTTAGAAATTTAAACTCAGAATTACTTTTAGGAAAGTTTTGATATGTAAAACTCATAGAACTACTGAATTTAGTGAATCTTCAACTTGTTATAGTAGTGAGTCACTACTATAACCAACCAGCTGAACAGTTTCTTCATCATCTGTTTTTCTTCTTTTTTTATTTTCAGTTGCCACCTATTTCTTTTTGAATCTTTCTTTTCTTCCACTAACACTAGAATGTAGCACATTATCTTTTACACCAATTCCTCACGTTTTTATTCCATTTTGAAGAGCTGTAAATCAGGCAATATCTTCATCTGCATCCTTAGCTGATCTGGTTTTTCCAATTTTTTTCCAACTTGGAGAACTTATATAAAAAATGCTATCTGTTATTGAATAAAGTTTTAGATTTTGCAAGCAACCTCCATTCGTCATGTAGCCTTAAATTATTTTCAATACTGTACTTGTCTTGTTTATAAGGAATGCCAGCCTTATCCCAAAAGCGCTTCTTTGATTCAATAGTAAGCAATACAGCTGACCTATATTTCGAAATGTTGCTTTGAGTGTGCAATGCCTCCTTAACTTTAGTAAACTCTTTATAAAAAGAGTTTACTAAAGTTAGGGAGGCATTGTAATCAATAACTTGCAAGTAATACCTTGAAATGGAAGATGAAAATAATTTAAACCTTTAAAAATATTTTCAAAAACATCAAGTTATAAGTTCATTCTTAATATAGTATTAAGCCTAACCTGAGAAGTTTATAAACATTTTTGGTAGAGGGCAAAGAGCTTGTTTTTAAATCTTCCAAAGGATATCCAACCAACCATATTTTGTTTGTTGACTTCAATACTTTCAAGTATTTCTTTTTAACCATTTTTTTTAATTTTGTTGGTCCAATGTGATTTTTCATTGGTTTAATTAGTGACATTTTTTTTATCAAATATTTACTTTGAATTACGTATAAACTGGAATTGAAAACAAGATGAGCATATAGTAATAACCATTAAATTATTTTGTATTGTTAATAACATAAACATAAGATAAATTACAACGGCGTGCTTGATTTTAATAAATTTGCTATATTACGATCAGAAAATAACCTGGCTATAATAAATAGTCAGTACGTTGGTGTTGAATCTGTTACTATATTCTTATTGAAAAACATTATGTAAACATTTAGGCCTACGATTTGTAAAAAAATAAACATAAGATAAACATACTGAGTTTTAATCTAAACTTCTAAACTACACATATCTTTGAACTTAATTCAACGAATACCGCGAAACTTACAGGTGCCTATTTATTGTATGAAAACCACTTAATAAAGTTATTGCGTTGTAAAATTAAAATCTATAAATATCAGAACAAAAGAGTTTTCTTCTCTATTGTTTTACAAGAAAAGAATTATTATATAAATATCTTATTAGAAAGATAATTAGGCTGTTAAATTGCTGTTAAATATATATGTATATATATATATATATATATATATATATATATATATATATATATATATATATATATATATATATATATATATATATATATATATATATATATATATATATATATATATATATATATATATATATATATATATATATATATATATATATTAGCTGTCCGGACCTGTAAAATACGGGTCTTGGTCATTTTATTCCGCAGTGACCTTATCTATACTTATTCCAGACTTTAATAAATTTTTATAAACGGTATAAAATATATATATATATTTATATATATGTATGCATATATATATATATATATATACATTTATTTATATATACACTTTTTAAAGCTATGAATTAAAATTTTAATATTTTAATTAACTTTTTATCGAAATGTTTAAAAAGCTTTAAACGTTTTGGTCGCCATTGCGCGAGTTGCTATTTATCAATGGATTGGATATCAATACCTGTCTTAATAATATTTAGAATACCCGCTTGAAATGTGTTAAAAAATTAACATTGGTAAAAAAAGTTTTAAAAACTTAAAGATATAGACCTAAATATGTGGAGTATTAGAATTAACATGACCTGTATAATGCTTAGGGCGTCTCCCAATTACTAGTTTACGCATGTTTTTAAACTCACAGTCATAGTTAGTGGAAACCATGTAAAATTAAATATGAAATTTTAACATACCAATCAATATCGAAAATCTTTTACGAGTGGTTTATCAGTACAGACACTTTGCGCTAAACTTGTATTGATTTATAAGAAAACAAGCTTTTGAATGAGCCATAGTATGTTTATATGACTCATCTCACCATTTTTTAGATATATCTTGAGATTATACTTTCACAATGATAACATAATGATAAATTGATATTTGCAGAAAAAATATTAATAAAAATATAATATACAGAAAAGTGGACACTTCTATTATAATTATGAACAAAATTAATAAAAATTAATTATCAAAATGTAAAAACCTATACATAAAATATTATTTTAAACCTAAAATTTAGTAAAAAACCAGCATTAAATAATCTCCAAAAATAGTTTAAAGAAATTATTAAATATAAGTAATTTAATTAGTAAATATAAAAGACAAATTTTTTCAGAACTTCTGCTATGAAAAATATTTTAAATTAGAATGTAGTTAGAGGTTGTTTTAACCTTGTTGCAGAAAGTCATCAAGTAAAG